TATACTGTACCTAAACTTTAAGTTTTTTTATGTTAACCACATAAAGCACTTACGGGTTCTCCTTTTAGACCAGGCTGACCTGGGAAACCATCTTTGCCCGGCAGTCCATCTTGTCCTTGCTTCCCTGGTAAACCAGGCTGACCAGGAAGGCCTTTGTCCCCCTTGTAACCAGGGGCTACGGAAATATCTCCTGGCTCACCTATAGCGCCAGGAGCCCCCATTAATCCTGGACTTCCTTGAGAGCCCTACACACAGTCAGATCATAAGGATTCACTGAGTTTAGAATATTAATTATGTATTCCATTTTTTCATACCACAGGTGTGGTTTATTCAAATTGTGTCGGTGATTGATAAGATGTTATTATACTCACAGGTCTTCCAGGTTGTCCGGGAAAACCAGGATCACCCTTTCCTCCTTTGCTGCCAGCAGGACCAGGAGGTCCTGCGTGATGAAAATTCACCATAAACTCAATCAATCAATGCATATTTAAGTGTCTACCAATACTATGCATCCGCAATTTCTAAGGGAAAAAACTATAGAACACACTGAACTCCAAGTAAATAAATAACTGAAATAACTGGCAAAACAACTGAATATAAAACTATCTATCAATACACCTTTTTTGTTTGCAGAAACATTGCTCACTGACCTCGCTCTCCTTTAGGGCCCTCAGGGCCAGGTAAGCCCCGCTGACCATCCACTTCACAACGAACACAGGTATCTCCTTTGTCACCTAAACAAGACCAAGAGACATTACTAAAGAATAACTTAACATTTTGACATCTTTTATGTGAAATACTGCAGCATTAATTATGTCTTGGATACTGTGATACAGTTCAACCACAACTCAGGGATTGCTACATTTTCCTAGTTTGTTTTAAAAGATTATCAGTATTGACAGTAATTCTGACCTTTCTGTCCAACTTCCCCTTGTAACCCTGGAGGTCCAGGTGGGCCAGGATTACCTTTCTGATTGTTACACTCATTGGGATCAACTGGGTGAGCAGCAAACAAACAGATTTGGTTACCAAAATCTTTGCACACACAATGAGTTTTATCTCGGTGCTACACATAAATGTCGTTGAAGGCATACTTGGTGGTCCAGGTGGTCCTGGTGGACCAGTGAGTCCAGGTTGTCCTGGAGGTCCTGGAAGAGACTCTCCTTCTATTCCCCTATCGCCCTTTTCTCCCATATCTCCCTTCTGACCCGTCTCTCCACGGGGACCTTCCAAGTTGCGGCCTGAAATATGAAAGGTTGTGTTATTTACTGTGACACGCCCCCAGAAAGAAACATCCATCCATTGTCCATACTGCTTGCTCCATATCAGTGTAAAGAGGAGAACATGCAAACTCCATACAGAAAGGTCCCCTGGGTCTCAAGCCAGGAACTCTCTTACCATCTCAACCTATCATCCCCTCCAAAAAACAATAACAAAGAAAGACAGACACTCTACAGGTCACTATTGTACTGCAGGGCCACACATGACTCCACACATAAAAGTTTACTGACGTGACAAAACATCCTATGTCGTTATACAACATTTTTCAGCCATAGAATTGTTCTTAGAATCTTAAGCTGACTTTAAACTATTCACTTGGCTTTAGCTTTGCTGTTTTAATGTTTTGACTGGTTATTATGGAAATGATACCGGAAAATCTAAAAAAATCTAAATCAAAATCTAAAAAAAAAAAACAGAATCAACAAAAACTAACAAAACTCATCAAAACACATTATTCATCAATCTTTTGCAACTCTGGTTTTCAACACTTTTAGAGGAGTGATGTTGTTTTCTGGGGTCAGTAAATCATTAACATTTGTTTACCTGAAGCTGATGTTACACAAGGATTTTCCTAGCACCCCTTTGTTACTCAGACATGTCTAATGCGTACTTACCAACACTGAACCCAACAAATATGACACACTGCTGCCTAACAGTACACTCTCAGAAGCCATGCTGAATCAGAGGCATGATGTGCGATGCGACAACTCTCTGCGTCCTACACAATTGAAACCAATTGCTCCCTTCACCTTTTGTAACCTTTGAGGGTTTAAAGCCACAATAACAACCAGCAGGAGGCAGGACATTTGCACAAATTTGCAAATTTTGTCAATCCAGTATCCATGGCTGACTGATTTCTGGTTCAGACTGTTTAAAAAATGCTATTTTTACCTGGTGGGCCAGCATCTCCCTGTGGTCCAGGAAAACCTGCAGATTAAGAAGTAAGCAAAATGTTAACGTGTTATTGTTGTGTTAAAAATGTTACAGAAAATGATCAGTGGTAAGCTTTCATTTCAGTGAGGGACAAAAGAGCATCTATAAATAAATGTAAGCATTTGTTCACACATAATGACTTTCTTTTACCTTTTTCTCCTTGTAACCCCGGGAGACCACGCGGGCCAGCAGGGCCAGGGGCACCAGTACCCTGAAACCACAAAATAATAGCTATCAAATACAATCAAAGTTTCATATATATAAAAAGGAGTCAATGTGTCAATTAACTCCATTCAGTAGATCACAACCACTGGATATGATGGACTAGATTACTAATCCTGTGTAGGCTTCCACTAACTCCACTAGTTTAAATTACACCTTTGCACTACAAAATCTGGTTGGTTCTACAGTGTCAACCAACAGGGAACCACGAGGATATCATCGCAACATGGTGTTTGTTCTGAAAAATACTCTGTGTTCTCCTGCATGAATATGTCCCATATACCTAAGGTTTAATCCTCACTGTGTCAATATCTAGATACTTGAATCTGACCCAAACCCTTTGGCTTTTATCACTTACTCTTAGCTGATTGTCCATTTTACGCTGATGATGTATGAAGTTAGATTTGAGATGTCACATTGTTAATAACTTAAGAGTGAGTGAGAAAAACAGGCAAAGCAAAAGTAAAGTGATTGTAAAAACCCAAGTTTTGACATCACTTACATAACCAGGGGGTCCTCTTTCTCCTTTTTCACCCTAACATTGAAAGAATGAAAAAGCTTCATGATACATCTGTATGATATTTAGACTTCGATTGAATTTCTTATCAAAGCCACGGATAAGATAGCCCATTCGTTTTTTTAAGAATTACTTACACCCAAACCAGGGAATCCAGGAGCTCCAGCAAAGCCTTTCTCTCCCTGAATGATAACAAATTACAGTTAGATTTATAATGATATTTCATGCAATAACAATGTTGTATTCATTCACCATGGCAGCGGATTATTGAGTAGATGGATAGTGGAGGAAATATTGTTACCTTAAGTCCGTCCGATCCATCTTTCCCAGGTTTTCCCTAAATTACAAGTGCAATTAACAATTAACTGCATAATTTGAATGAAATCTTTTACCTTTTTTATTGCTTTTTTGTTTTCTTTTTTTTTGACAACTTACTCTTGGTCCAGGGGGACCAGGTTCACCTTTGATCCCAGCCAGGTAAGGGATGCAAGTGGCCTACAAAATGTTTAAATAGAACCAATGAGTCTCAAAACAGGTGACGGCAATTTACGGACTTTACCAGTTTTACTCTAAAACTTTTGAAGAAAAACTACCAACTTTTTCTCCTTTGTCCCCTTTAGGTCCATCGGCTCCCTTTGGGAATTAGAGATAGAAACGTATTCAGGTCAACAACGCAGAATCTAGGCCATATTGAGGCAGACATTCAATGATTTCTTAAAAGAAAAAAAAGTAGATATATTTGTTCAGAGATTGTGTGAGTACCGGTGGTCCTTTCAGGACTACAGTGGTTGTTCCTCCCACTTCTTGAGGAGGTCCAGGGGGACCTGGTGGACCTCTGAGGCCTTGATCGCCCTGTAGGGAGATCATTATGTTCACAACAGCTACAGATACATATATGCAAGTATAAACATTGTGCAAAAAAGTGCAGCAATATTAAAACAGATGAGCTGGTTAATTGGAAAATGATTTCGATATAGAATTTTTGAAAAACTGACAAATCAAATTCAAATGCACAGCAGTGAGAATGGCAGCCCTCTTCATTCAGTGTCATTTCCAACTGTTGTGAATTATGTTTCCCTCCAACATGAAAAGCCATATTAACACCTCAGCAGTTCTTTTATTTTTATTTTACTACTTGTTGAGAGAAAAACTGCTAAACTCGACAAAACATTGCCTGTAGAAACTGACGTTTTGGGACATAATTCCATTTAATTTTTGAATTGCTAGTAAAATGAGTTTCAAAAGCACAGAGAAACTGCTGATGAGCAAACGTCTGCACACTTTAAGGTGGCAGCTGATGTTGCCATGGTGACATAACATACAACATTCCACCTGACTCAGACGTAGAACTGACTGAGTATTTATCTTGACTTTGAAGAAAGAAAAAAAGACTCTTAACATCTAAAGACTATTCCGCACACAGCAGTGTGAGATTCGTGATCCTGACGGACAGCAGACACACTCGATGTGAGGTGTCACCTCTGACTTTCCCTGAACGTCCTGCTCACATTTTGGATTGAAGTCATTTGTAGAAGTTTGGCTTAAAAGGGATTTGAAAGTTTGAGGAAAACTTTTCTTTTCGTTCTGATGAGACAATTGTTCATAATGAGGATAAACTCCTAACAGAAAAACGTGTGAATCAATGCCAACACTTATCACAGTATGTTTACAATAGAACAATAGATAGATATAAATACATATACTGTATATAGACAAATAAATACACACCTTATCACCTTTCTCACTGACAAAGGCTAACCTGTCACCCTGCAGAGAGATTAAAATACGGTAAGATAATTACAGCAAAGAATGATAAGGTGTTTTAAATTTGAAAGCTGTTATATATGTATGAGGCACATCTTACTTTTTCTCCTGGGGGGCCAGGGAGGCCAGGGTCACCCTGTCAATCAGTGACTCAGTTAGTAACAGAGCAATGATAACACCAATGTCAGTAACCAAAGCTGTCATGTAAAAATGTGTTTGTATTTTGGTAAATATGAGAACATTAAGTCGCCTTAGATGTCTATTTTGTTTTTTACAAAAATGATCAGATGAAGGGCAGCTCATCATCGAGGGAGTAACTTACTTTGGGCCCTTGATATCCTCGGGGGCCTGGAGGCCCAGAAGGGCCACGAAAACCGGGGGAACCCTAGGGAAGGAAGACAAGTGTGGAAAGAACATGAATCACATTGCATTTCTATTATTTTTTCATTTTTTCCAACACACAGAGTCACTACTTACAGGTAGTCCAGTCACGCCAGTGTAACCTTTCTCTCCTTTAAAGGGAATAACTCCAACTACACCGCCAGGGTCTCCCTGTGTGAGACGGGAAAAAAAGACATGTGACATTACGTAACATCCTACTAACTTTAATACGATAAAAAAATGTATTAAATTAAACTTACCTTCATTCCAGGAGTTCCTGGGAAACCCTTTAAAAAGAGTAAAGAATAGAAATAAATCCATACAAAAGCTGTTCTTGAAAAAAAATCAACATAATGTATTTATAGTGTGTTAAAAGAAACAAGGCATGTGTTTCCTAAGGTTTTTTGTTTTGTTTTTTTGTTTTTTTTGCTTCCACGGGTCATTGAACTATTTTGTGGTCGGTTGCGTGGTTGCTTATTGTGACTTAAGCAGGGTTTTCTTACAGGAGGCCCTTGAAGACCAGGAAAACCAGGAGAGCCATCCCTTCCTCTGTCTCCCTAAAACACAAATAACAGTCAAAAAGCACAAACAGTGTTTATTTTGTCTCACAAAATAATATGTACGACAAACAAAAAAGCTGTATCACTAATAGTTGCTTACTTTAGTCCCATTGCAGCCCGGAATACCAGGCGGGCCCAATGGGCCATCGATTCCATTGATACCCTGTGAATGGGAGTGTGAAAGAGGATCATATTTGACATTTCAGAATAATCAGCCAAATTACTAAAGTATAATCTTTCAAACATATTATTTAGGTATTTAGACATCAAATCATTCCAGGGAATTCAGTGAGTTGCTGCAGAATGAGAGACTTGACAACAGATCAAAGGATCTTACCGGCAGTCCTGGGTTTCCTGGGAAACCTGGGATGCCAGGGGGACCCTGGGAAATCACAGACATGTAATGTTTACTCTGAACGTTCCACCGGGTTCTGGAAATGTTTAAACTTCTTGGAGAACTACAAGTCTTTGCAATATTACAGCTTTTGTAAACACTTCAAAATGCTGGTGGTTAGTTACTTACCCTCACTCCTTTCAGTCCCGGAGCTCCAGACTCCCCCGAGTCTCCCTATAATAAAGACAAGATTAAAAACTAAAATTGATTAAATTAAGTTGTTTGATGAAATTCATGAAATGTTAGATGGCCATATAGGTAAAGATTAATCACTTCATGTTCACTAAAGTTTCCTGATTTGAAGAATTCATTTTGAAGTAACTCTCAGTATTAATATGTGTCAGTTTTTGTATTGTTTTATCTTCAGCCCGACAATGCTCACTAACCTTGGGGCCCATTGGTCCCTGAGGCCCCTCTGGTCCCTGCATCCCTGGGAACCCAACATAGCCTTGAAGACCAGGAAGTCCTCGCTCCCCCTGTGATGGACAAACAGTTATTGTGAAGTCAGGAGGGCCAAAAAGTGGAAGAGGAAGAAAAACATTTTAAGAGATTTTAAAAGATTTATAAATCTTTTATGAAATAAAGTTATTGTAGAATGTAAATTATCTGATCATTTTTAACTTTTCAAAACTTCATAGAGTTATTAAAAGAATTAAAATGAGTGCATTGGACACAGTTGGCTCAGAAGTTGTGGTATCATTTTAATAATAATGTTAAGACTTTGTGGCGCTGCGATGGACTGGTGGACGCTCCAGGGTGTAACCCGCCTCTCGCCCATTGACCACTGGGATAGGGTCCAGTCCTCCCCGCGACCCCATTAGGGAATTAGTGGTAGCGATAATGGATGGATGGATGGATGGATGGATGTTAAGACTTTGTATGAATGCTGTTTAATGTATATTTCTGTTAAAGGGTCATTTCTACCAGTATGTTTCATACTTTGGCCAATGTCGCTACGACTCATCATGAACTAATATTGGTATGTACTGAGTTTGACCTAAGAAAAGAAAACAAACTCGTAAGGCCCATACTTTATCTGATCTTCTTTTTTTTTTTGGCTGGGCTCTAAAAACTAATCTGGAGACATTCTCTCTTTTACCACTAGATGGCAGCATTGATCCGCTCAGCAGTCCGCGTCAGCGCTCAGGAGAGCGAGCCTTCACATTTCCACACTCAAACTGTTACACTGGGGTAGATTTCCACAACACCTGGCTCGCATCAGTCAGGATAAACACTGCATGTTGAACCTGGGAAATCTCAGCTGGGTAACTATAGCAACCTCGATGGTGCAACACGAGGAAGTGATGATTTCATTGGAAAAAGAGGTCACACGAGACATTTAAGGAAGTTTGAGGCCTTTCAGCAACTTTCAAAATGCACAGGAGCTTTGAATTAAGCGATTGGCCAGACTCCACCAAATACAAGTTTGTACAACTGTATAACTGTCAAGAGTTGTGGGCTTAATGTTCGACTACTGTTGCTGTTACAGAGAGCCTTAAACGGCAAGACATTTGCAAGTATAACTCAGCAAAAGCATTCACTCCAAATATGGACTTATCTTTTTGGATCAAGAGGTTATCAAAATATATATATTTTTAATTATTTCAATGGAAACACAGATATCATTTAATACGTCTTGACAACCAAGCGGGGAATCCTGATGCCCAGATTTAGAACCACTGCTTTGTTAACATGTTTGAAGTATTAAAAAAAACTGAATGGGATACATCATAATTTTTAAATGGACTTAAACATAAAATGTACAGGGATTTTTAAAGTAGCATCTGTGAGTAAGAAATATTTAATCTTAAACCTCTTTCTAACCAAACAAATGTTAAATTTAAACTTTCTGCCAAGTGATCCAGTCTAAGAGCAACTGGAATGGTGAGAGCTCAACGGTTCACAGCCAGTGTATGTTCTCTTGTACATCTGTAGCTCTCAGCTTCTCCCCATCTGATGGGAATATGGCTATCTGCCCAGCTGTGAGTCTCGACATGCTCTGATTCAAACTGATCTTTGTTTCGCTTCCTGGTCTCTGCTCCATGACGAGGCCATTGCATTTCTTTTCCACTTGGACCTTGTTCATTCCACTGCACTGACCCCCATTTGTCAGAACACTGAAAGCGCTGTTTATTGTCTCTACTTGCTCCACAATCACAGTCCGAATGCCTAAAATTAGACAGGTGAAAGAACATACTTGGACTGACTGACAGAAATATGAAACAAGTATCAATAAAAATCTCACCTTTGCTCCTTTCACACCACTGCAGTCACATTTTCCACACGATGCTCCGCAACCCTGAAGACCAAGAGAAACATAAAATTATGACCCGTTTCTGGGAAGAGAAAACACACAACTAATGCTGGTTATGTTTTCACCTCCTGGACGTGGGAGAAAGAATCTGAAAACATTTGTATTTAGTCATTTTTCAGGACTAGAAGTTGAAAAACCTGTTGTTGTCACTATATGACAACAACAGGTTGTTGACAATACAATTAAAACATATGAAGAACAATATTAGCAACATTCACACAGTAACTACATGAAGTACATATATCAAATAATAATAAAAGCAAATAAAGTATGCAAGAGTTTATAAATGGGCACATTAGATATACTAACGGGATGAAAAATGTTGTCAGATAGATAACAATGAGCAGTTGAACTCCACATAGTTGATACGAAAAACTGTAAATATAAAAACCTTTCAAGCAAAATCGTCATAGTATTTGTTATGAATTCTGCTTTTGGTCAACTGTCAGTTACGAGTCCAATACATAACCTTCCTACACCTACAGACAACACCCTAGGTCTGAATGAGAAATAACAGTAACGTGAAAGAACAAAGTAGCATGAGGGGATTCAGAAAGCCTTCCAGCTAAAAAAAACCGCTGTGTTGGTCGACAATAATCTGTCATTTCTCATTACAAGCACCACTAAAATACGTCTTAGCTTTCTAATCCATAGAAACTCCAACAGCTACTCAAATTATTCTTAAAAACGATGTGTGCTTTTAAGGTTTCTTAAAGGCCAGAGGAAGGACTCAGCTATTCGTAAAACTACTTACAGAGAGGACATACTGCAGCTGCCCTGAACCCGCCCACCCCCGACCCCCACCCTGCTTCCTTTCCTCTCAGGGTTTCCAGAGGCCAGAGCCTGGGAATTGGTCTGCACTGTCTTGGCTCTGCCTTCCATTGCTCCTCTCTTCCTTTTCTCTCGCTGTTCCAGCTGTTTCTTGACTCACGTGTAAGGCTACCAGCCAAAACCCTGTCACAGCTTAGGACCGGCTCTCCGGGCTTGGGAAGACAGTACACAGCCACACTAACCACACATATTTTTAACGGTTTCTCATTCTCACAGACACACAAAACAAAAATAAAAAACACCACAAACCCCTGCTTACTCCATATACCTGACATTTTCTTTATGTAAGCTTACTATGCTTTAAATTTGAACTCAACCTCTTATGTGTCTTTTAAATTCCAACATACCTCTTAACTGAATCAACATGTGGTCTTATAAATCATGGGAAACCAGAGGAACCACAAAATTCCCAGCACTTGGAGCTGCCAGTCCCAGTGCACTTGTTCTAATCATTTTGCATTTCATCACATATGTGTGGCTTGCTAAGCCAATGCCATTTCCTGTTCCAGCTCTCAAAATCACCTCTTACTCGGACACAGTGTGCTGATTCCGGCTTTTTTAATTGCTTTTTTTTTTCATCATGCTACAGGAAAACTAAAGGAACACCTGCTTCAGATCTGATTAGTGTCATAAGACAAAAGCAGGAAACAAATATTGATTCTGGGAAAGAAAGTGTGGTAAATCATGCGTATAATAAAGGCTTCTGCTGCTGGATTAACATGATTTTTATTAGCAATTTACCAAGAGAGTTAATGCTATTTGATGTAATGGTGGCGCATGTTTAACATGGTAAAAGGCATATTGAGGTAAATCACTACTGCTCCCCTGAGTGTATTCCCTCAGCAGCCTGCTGCTCACTGTCTGCCTCAGAACTGCGCTTTGTGTGCAGTTTCTGTCGTTCACTTTCAGACAAAACTTGACTGAGCAGACATTCCTGCATGTTGGAGGGTGTGACCAGGGCACCAGAAGCCGTGCAACAGGGCTTAGAATGAAGACACAAAGAGAAGCGCCACCCTGCAAAATCTCATGCAGGATCCCCAAACACAGTAAAAAAAAATTAAAGAAAAGCTCTACGGGTGGATCAAAGTGGTTCTTTGGTTCTCCATTTGTTTTCCCTCTACATACATCACTCATCATAAACCCAAACACCAGATGGGAATGACAGCACATGTGTCATCTACACAAAAAGCGTGTCTTCTTAATGAGTCCTGCAACCACAGATTAAATCTGTCTGATTTGGTATCTGGGCCTTGTACTTGAGGAGGGTTCTTAAGAGGGCCTTATCATGTAAATCCTCAGGTACATGAGATAACAAGGGCCCTCTCTGTACCAAACTGGTACGCTTATGTCGTATTCTCTCTTCACTTCAGTCTCTCTTGGTTGTAACTTTAGCTTGGACATCACCATATATATCTGAGGTATTCATCAGAATTTTGTCACGACATAGTATGTGCTTAAAACAGATCATGTGTGTCATTTTTCTACTTTGTACATCTCATAAACTGTATAAATGACATTGCAAAGCTGTTGTAACTTATTAAGGCCTGTGCAAAAGCCTGTTCCCTCTATCTTCTTATATTTTACCTGAAAGAAGCCAGATTTTTGTTGTAATCTGTCTTTTAGACATTATATACATTTTCATTCATTTCCTAAAAGTTTGTCTTTGTTGAACCACTTACAGCCGTTTTATGATTAACTTAAACATAAACAGGTTCCAAACACAAGGGATGAGCCGGTGTTGCGTACGCGATTGAAAAAGTGAAAAGACCTACTTATGGACTTTATCTTCAGGCGCTTTATTACTGTCAGACAGAGACATATAATATTTTCCAATTGCTTTGAAGTTTATATATTCATAAAGTAACGCAACCTGCACCTGAAGGAATATTGTCAAATGCTGTATTTTTTTAAATAAATGTGGGATGTATCAGGAATTGGAGACAGAGAAGATATAGGGATGAAGATGACGTTAAACTCCCTGAATGGTGTGATCTTTCACAGACCAAACAGACCGACTGAGGCCCTGAAGTGATGAGTGTTAATATCCAGCCTTGGTGAGTCACCGTGCTCTGGAAGGCCTATGTCAGATCCAGTAAACTTAGACGGCAGACAGCTTCACGTGTCCCGAGACAAGCGGTTCATGTAATTCTCGAGTACTGATGGCAGGCTCTGATGTTTCCAAACTGTGAAAATTGCTATGACGTGTGCTGGCAGATTGCTTACTTTAACTGGGCGCTGCAAGAAACGGCATCTTATCATAACTGCGTGCGCAGGACGGATTGTTTGCAACTGTTTATTAAAGCTGGAACTGGCAAGGGAAGACGGGTCTGAAAGTTTGCTTTGAATTAAAAGAACAAGAGACTGACACGAGAAAAAGTGCCTCCTCCTGTAAGAGGGATGGACAAGTTATTGCTGCTCAGATGTGTTGCACATTCACAAGCCAAGCCGTTAAGGGGATTTGGGTTTTTTTTACATTCAAAAGGACTCCTTAGCCTTTTTTAAGTATATCTTTTGGAGCAATTGATTACGTAATTGCATAACAGCTCTTTCACCATTGTAAATTTCTGTGTTTTTCAGACTTCCAAACCGTCAGTAGTCATTGAGCCAGCTGCCTTTTTCTTGCCACTCATGCTCAAAAAGTGGGTGTAACCCACTTACAGTCACGTGTCTGATAACAGCACGTGCATTCCACCTATCTGCAGAAACTCTACTGTAGACTTTTTCTTTTTCTTTGAAGGAACAAATCCTTTTTGCGTAGACTTTGGCATTTGTGACTTTGGACATTTGGAGAGTGCAAGAAAAAACATAAAATAATAGCAAGACATCTTCAAATGCAGAGCTACAGCTGTCTATTCTACCTTTAGATGGAATCACTTTTTGTCATTCAATAATCTTATGGGGTCTTCAGCAAAATCAAACTGCGTTCCACGCCTAGGGTTTGCCAGGAAACAATTTGAACAGAGGATACACAATGCTTCACAAAAAAGGAAATAGAAGTAATTTAGTTGCACAACTTTGAGGTTACGAAGCAATTTCTCCCAAACCTACAGAGAGCGCCTCGGCCACTGCAGCTTAAACAGTCACCATGTTTGTTTTTAAGGCTTCTGTGGCTGCATGATTCGGAATCTTGCAAAAGTAAATAAATGCACTCCTCATGAGCAGCAGCTAAACTCCAAACATGGCAAGTGCACTTGAAATATTCCACTTGTCTATCTTGCATGAAAAGTTTCCAACATCTGCACAGTTCCTTCTGTGCCCGGCTAAATGCCGTGCATACGCTTCATTAACAGTTTTTCAGCAGTTCGGATTGTTCCCACATGAGGGCAGAAACATTCCCACCCCTGCAGCTGCTCCACATGGACTGTACACGTCCAACAGCTGTAACAGTTTCTCTGCATCTCCCCCTTCATGTTAGGGGAAACTGAAGATCACACAAACATCTGGTCAATGTCATCGACAGGCTTTTTCTTTAAAACGACGTCGCATTCCAGCCACATTCCGCATGCCATAACCTCCCAGCACTGCTTAAATAATTCGCTAACCTCGAGCATGTCCATGTGGGACCGCGCGCTAAAATGTGGGAGGATTCGCTATTTCGCAACCCCTCTTCCACCCCAATTCTCGTATTCACTCGCACACAAACAAATAAAAGACAAGCAGGGGCCCATCATTAAGATAGCATTTCTAGCATGGTGTAAAAGGTTATCAGACAGCATGTTGGGATACAGAGCTTCACCAAACTAGGAAACGGATTAATGAAAGTCTTTTCTTTGAAGGTGTGCACATTTTTCAAGTCCAGCATCTATTTGACGTTGTTTGTTATAGCTATTTTCTTATTTTCCATGCAACACACTTCCTTTTCGGATGAGCGGCTTGAAAATAGAGAAACGGTTTGACCATTGGGTTATCCCCCAGTTATTTCCTAAACTGTGGGGGCAGATAGGAGTCTTCCTTCCACATCGATATGGATTTCACTAAGAAACAAAGCAGATAACTAGGTTGGATGTCTCCACTTTGCGCTCCTCACTCACCTCTACTCTCACATCACCACACTTAAACTAAGTTTATTACATTAACTTGATCCATATGATGTAAATTGACATTATTCAAAAGCTGTGTAGGTATTTCTTAGTAGAATATACTTGCTAACCTCATATATCATTACCGGTATTTTGTTATATTTGGGAGGCTGTCATGAAGCTTCAACATACAACACCAGCATAAGTTTTTTTTTTATCCAGGAGACCTAGACATTATAAATCCCTCTATCTGCAGCTATCCTGACAGAGATTCACTGTATATTTGAACGGCAGCTTTGTGTTTAAATTTTGCACTGCATTTCCGGCCTGTGGTTCTTTTGGTTTTCACACTGGCTCCTCTAATTACTCCTGTCATCCAAAGAGATTTCAGTTTTCTTTCCCAGCTATAGATACTGTTAGGCCTTGTTTAAGACATCTGTGAATTTCCACACACACACACACGCACACACGTACACACACATAGGCTCTTGTGAACTAAAACACTGCTCATTTCCCTGTGTTCTCCCTTTAAACTCAGCCTTCCCTTCCCGTATCAGCAATCTCAAAGTAATTGTCTGTGTACAAAATCATCATTATGAGCCATCAAACATATCATTTCACATTGACAGTGGCATGACACGTTTACCTTGTGCAAGTAGCCCATAAAGACGTACCAACAGCAGTCAACCACAGAATTAGCTTCCATATGGAGACAATCAGGATACTTTTACTCCATGAACATCAGAGGGATCTAAGTTGGCAGCAGGGCTCATTTAGTAGCACTAAATGACACAGTACAATACACATGCTGCAATACTTTGTAACATATGTGGCAGCACCACAACCATCACAGTCTGGTGACAGACTGCTGCAATCCAACAGCTGATCTTGGTGTAGTGAAAACGTATGAGGTCAGCTGTCTCTGTGCCAATGAGTCACTCCTGCTCCTGCTGTTTGTGTTTTATCTTCATTCTAAGCGTGACAACAGGTGCTAATGAACAAAAATATTCAGTTCCCACGACCGAAATAGTG